CCTAGGCATCATCTCTGTTACTCTGTGTAGTCTCACTTATACTTCTTACTTTAATTTTATAAATGGAAGTAATGAGTGTATGGAAATTGGTTGTTAATATTATGACTACTGCCACTGCTATCACTGCTATCTGCTGGTATGTATTACTAAAACTCATGTGTCGGTAACTTTCAATTGGACGAAATGGTGCACCCTAGGGCAACCATTTTTAAACCAACATACTTCAAATGGGCTAATTTAAAGAATGTGTCTGAAAGTCAGGATCCATGACTCCAGGGGGGGATTAAATTTGTGTGAAGGAGGTGTGCTTGTGTTTATTTTCATGGTCATGATGTGCACTGAAGTTGGGGTTTGATTTCATTGTACGAGGAGGTGCAATGACAACAAAGTAAAAACTAAACTAAGTTTGCCAAGTTGCGGCCACTACGGTGCTGCTGTGCTACTGTGATTACTCGTGGGCACGTCATCATTTCCAAGTGATCCAGTCATTTTCTACAAGGGAAAATCAGCGGGGAAGCTGACAGAAAGTTAAAAAGTCACTCCTGCTCTCAAGACTTTTTTGCCCGTCTTTGGTGATTCTGTTTCTTTCTTTAGGTAAGGAAATATCCCTGAAACAATGACCCAACAGGGCATAAATTGTCTAGTTATGCTTAAAAGCTACCAGTGGGAAACATTCTTTTTCACAGAATAGATCATATTAATTTGCCTAGTGCCATCTTAATGGGGAAAGAGGGGGAAAAACCAGCTTCGGGACCACTGGAGAGAGTTTTGGTATCAGAGGCTACAAATCAATCAATCAACAGAACCTGTTTGGAGAAGGAAAAGAAAACCCTTCTCACATTTTTCCTACGTTGTTATAATAATATTGAAAGGCTATGTTATAACTTATGGGAATGCCCATTATATTACAGGCTATATTTAAAATATGACTTCACCTTAAGTTTTATCCGAATGTGCCAAATATTAACCAGAAAATAAATTTACTATTGAGAAATCTAACTGGCTTAGCAAGACTTGCTTGTTCCACCCATGATATATATTCATCTTCCAGGTAATTTGCAATTTATTTATTTTTGGCAGTGGGTGCCTCCTGATTTGTGTTGACACCTAGCAACTATCTGGATAATTCTTGCAGCTTTTTTGGTGAGATTTCAGAAATGGTTTCCCCCTGCCTTTTCCTTCCTAGAGCTCACAGGCAACCCAAGGTCACCCAGCTAGCGCTGTGCTTAAATCAGGACTTGAACTCGTGTCCTTCTGGTTTCCAGCTGGTGCCAATCACTACACAAAACTGACTCCCGTCTGTTTACTTACAGCAGGTGTCCCCAAACTTGGCAACTTTAAGACTTGTGGACTTCAACTCCCAGAATTCTCCAGCCAGCTCTGACTTACAGCCTCCTACAATGGAACAGTAAAACCAACATTTTGCACTTAGCTCCTGTAGTAAAATAAATCCTTTGAAGATACCAAAAGGAGAGAGATTCAGGCACACGAATGGATATGCACATTCCATTTTTGAGATAATATTGATCTATTTGGGTTTTCTGTTTCCATTTCCTACCAGGGATCAGAGGTCCTCAAACTCAGCAACTTTAACACTTGTGCACTTCAACTTCCAGTACTTTTGCTGTTTTTTAAACCTTTGAATCAAACAGGGCAGTTTTATGAAGTTATAGTGATGGAGATTCCAAAATAACCTGCTCATCTTCCAAATTTCATTTGATTAGAACAGGGGTTTTGCTGGCTGAGGAATTCTGGGAATTGAAGTCCACAAGTCTTAAAGTTGCCAAATTTGGAGACCTCTGCTCTATAGGAAGTGGTTGGACCATCTACTCAACAGAATACTGGAAATCGACATTCATATTTTGAAACATATTGGATCAAATTTGCATTAAATGTGATTTCCTGAGTTTTAGTTTTATGAAACATAATTAACCATGACAGCCAGTTCTGATTTCCTGTTGTCCATTTGTCCACCCAATTCTGAAGTAGCCTTACCTTTTCTTCGGCATGAAGACATAAAAAAACTTCCATCCTGCTTTTTTTCCTCATAAACAAATTAGTACATACCACTTGATCTAGTACAAGTCTAGCAGTCCATTTATTTTAAACAGAAACTAAGGAGAACGAGTGGACAACCTGTTCAAATGGGGAGCTGACAGCTGCTGCTATCAGTTAAGAGATGAGCACTGAAAAAAGTGTAGGTTTTCTTGAATGCTTGTGAAAGGCAGTGGGGAAGACTATGGAAGCCGCATTAGCGGTGGCTGTAACTCCAAAGCAGTCAAGTTGCTTGGAGCAAAAAAACCCAAGTCATCTTTATTCAAAAGTAAATGATTCCCCACATACACAATGAACACTCAAAACCAAAGATATCAAAGGTGACTTTTATTTCTGGAAAGGATAAGCATAAAATATCTTTTCCACCCAAAGGTGCCCCAGAACTGAGTGCCATTCAAAATTCCCCTGTGCTTGTGAAGATTGAAAAGTGGCAAATAAAGATTTCCAAAGAAAATTCAATGTCCCATCGCTAGTAAATATTAATTTTAATCTTTCCCATCACCTTTCTCCAAAACATATAATTTATAATCTTAGGTACCAAACTTTTAATAAATTTATATACATACACATATATTTATATCTTTGTTTTATAATATAATCAATAAATATGATTTTTTTATATAAATTACAATCTCTCAGTAGAAAAAGGAAAATAGGAAGCATTTCTGATTTCTCTCTCTCTCTCTCTCTCTCTCTCTCTCTCTCTCTCTCTCTCTCTCACATACACACATACACACACACACACACACACACACACACACACACACCTAATTTCATAGTTACAAAAGGAACCCAAGATCAAAACAAAACATCTTAAAAATCATTATTCCAAAATAACACACACTGATTTAAGTTTATTCATATGCTACTTCTCATTCTCAGGGGAAGTGGAGACAGCTTCATTTTAAAAGTGTCTGGAATTGCTTGTGGCAGGCATCTCTGGAGTGACCTTTCCCTCTACAGGGATGAGTAAGGGATGGAAGGCAAGACAGAAAGAAAAAGACAATCAAATAACACACACACACAAAAGAGAAAATGGAAGAGCCTTATTGCTGATTGCTTTGTGTCAAGTCATTCTTGACTCCTGGCTACAAGTCCATACCATTTTCCTGAAAAAAAAAATCAGGAATTGTTTACCCTTGACTTCTTCTGATGGATGAGAGTGGGATTGGCCAAAGGTCACCCCGCTAGATTTGCGTCTAAGATGGAACTACAATTCAGTCTCTCAGTTTCTAGTCTGGCATCTTAACAAGTATACCAAACTGGCTTTCATCCGTTTGTAGTCCCCAATAAGTTGATATAGTCACCTCAGATTGAGCTCAACTTCTGATGTCAATATATTCAGAGGTTCATATAATTTCTTGATAACAATACAGAAGTGGTCTGCCAATGCCTTCTTCAAGGACATAATTTCCAGTCTTCCTACAGCCCTGAAATTTCCTATTTAAATACTTTTCCATTTTTTAAGATTAAAGTCTGTTAGTTGCTGCTATGCAGCTGGGTCTCAATAAAGTATTCTTCAAGAAAAGCAACATTCAAAAGAAAAATGCTATTCTCCCTCTTTCCCGTTTAAATCTATCTATCTGCCTACTTCAGAACCAACTGGTCCCAATAAACGTTATTAAATTTAAATGCAAGGGGAGTTGGGTTTGAGTAGACACGTATAAAATTGCACTGGACATCATTCCCTCACAGAATAGTTAAAAGGAAAAATGGCTTCATAATTTATATTAAGTGCTCTTAATTAAGTACTCTCTGGGTGATTTGCGAATACCATAAAAGGGCAGGTTTCTCCATCCTTCAATACACAGAGAGGATTTCTATCAAAAGAAGTGATGGCAATTTGATATTCAGAATTAATTAGCTGCCAACTGAACTCCGCAACTTTTGAAGAGCTACATCCAGCACAGAGCTGATTTGCCTGCGAGTGTGCTGGAGATGGGAACAGGGTGTCCATTGGCCAACCCAACCATCCTAAATGATTTCTATGCAAGAATTGAGTACACATTTAAATTGATGGAGTGTGCTTCCACCTTACATTCTTAGCAGGGTGTTCACACAAATGGTTTCAAAAGTGCTCTTGTATCACCTGGACAACTCTCAAAGATGGAAATCACTGTAACTTGAGAAAGGCAGGTATTAGGAGGGAGGGAGGGTTGCAATTCTTTATAGAGTTATCTCAAAATGTGTCTCATTAAACTCACCGGCATGTGTGCCTGAATAGGCTTGCACAGCTCGACATACGCAACATAAAGTGAGGCGACCTTTCCGAGGGAGATATACTCCAAATATTTAGAAGACCTTAATTAGCAAAGTGTGACAAAACTTCATCCCAGGGTTTCCAGGAGAGTCTATGCCTGACTGACTTAAGAGCTGGGTTTAAAGCAGATTTTCCTGTTCTTCCTCCCTCCTCCCTAGACATCCCAGAAGGACCAATTCGTCTGGAACCTACACTAGCAAAAGTCTTGGCAAAAGCAGCTTCAAAAGACAACGTCACTGAGTCATTTAAGGATACTCCAAAAGTTTTCAGCTGCAGTGGACATCATACTAGAGAAATGCTGTTGTAGTATTTTAACAGCCAAGTAGCCAAGCAGCTGAATCCCAGAACCTGTTATTGGCAGGCAGGCAGGCAGTCGATATCTCAAATCAGACAGCCAGGTTTTATGGTTCAATCACACCAGGGAAGGAACCCCTGTGGCACTGAATCCCAATTCTTTCTATCAGCCCTGCATTAAGTGCTGGCGTCTTTCTCCGGGAGAGGAAGGACCTTGGGGGAAAAGTGCAGGGAAGTGGTCAGAGGCTTCCTATTTAAGGCAAAAGGCTAATAAGACTCTGAAGGGAGGGATTCTCCTCTCCTCCCCGGCAGCCCTGTGAGCGCAGCAACCACCAGAGTCGCCCGGGATCCCGGCCGTGGCTCGACCTCGTGCGCAAGGCGGGCACGGGGTTCAGACGAAGTCCGGAAAGGCCGCCTGGATCGGGAGCTTGAGACAGGGCGGGCGAAAAGGGCGCGCCTCCTCCGCAGAGTCACTCGGGCTGAGGCTGCTCCCTTGCGAGCCGGGCGAGTCCCACGGACAGAGCCAGGCGACGGGGTTGCCTTCGGGGTTGCCACCGCAGCCGTCCAGCGCTGGGAAAGCGGCGGCCTCCTGGCTCGGTCGGGCCAGCGCGCTCTGGTCGGCCAGGCGGAGGGTCTCGGTGAGCGCCCAGATGTAATTGTGGGCGAAGCGGAGCGTCTCGATCTTGGTCAGCTTGGCGTCGTCGGGGAAGGAGGGCAGGACGCCGCGCAGAGCGTCCAGGGCCGAGTTCAGGTTGTGCATCCGGTTGCGCTCGCGGTCGTTGGCCTTCATGCGGCGGCTCCGCTTGGCCCTGCTCACCCCGAGACCGTCGCCCTTGCCCTTGCCGCGGCCTCGACGGCTTCTGGCCTTGGAGGAGCTGCCTCCCTCGCAGGGCGCTCCGCCGCGGGCCGACCGCTCCCCCGCGCCCTCCGGGACAAGCAGGCCCGGACCGGGAGAGGCGGGCGGGCGGGCCGCGGCGGCGGCGCGTGAGGGAGAGGAGGAGGCGAAGGCGTCGTCGTCGTCGTCGTCCGAGGTGGCCCAGGAGGGCGTCCCTCCCTCGCTCGACTCCCGCGAGGCTGGCGAAGAGGCCGTCTGAGGAGGCATCCTGAGGGGAGAGCGGAGAGGGCGGAGGCCCCGTTAGAAAAGCGCGAGGCGCTGTCCGGGGACGACACCACCACCACCCGGCTAAAAGGGCCCCTTGGCCCGCGCGCGCGCCGGGAAGGGGAAAGACCCGCCAAGGAAGGCGGGAGGCTCCCCGGGCCTCCCTTCCCCGAAGGCGAAGGTTCGGCCCTTAAGACTCTCTCCCCTCGGCCCTTGGGAGTCGGGTTGCTTCTCTCACAGGGCGCCTCTGCTGCCCGCCGCGGGAAGACGAGCCTTCGAAGAGTTACAGCATCTCCGCCGAGAGGCGGCGGCGGCGGCTGCCTCTGCTTACCTCAGCCGACGCCGAAGCTCTGCCTAGGAAAGAAGCCCAGGCTGGAAGGCGAGAGAGAGGAGAGGAGCGCGCCTTCCCCGACGGCAGGAGAGGCAGGCTGCGGGTTGGGCACACGCCTGCCGCGGGGCTCCTATATATGTATATATATATGGCGCTCTGACCCAGTGCGGGATTTCCCCCTTTGGGCGGCATGGAGATGGGGGTTGTCCCCTCCCTCCGGCCCCTCGCCACGCCTGCCCGCTTTTTGGCACGCTTGAGCTTATCAGACCGGCCGGGAGCGTGCCGGCTTCTAGCCGCCCGAGGGAAGCCAATCAGAAGGCGGCGGCGGCTCGCCCCAGCCACGCGAGCCCCTTGGCTGGGCGGCGGCCCCAGCAACCCTCCCGTGAGGGTGAGGGTGGGGGTAAAACCGCCTTTTTCGCCTCAGTTGTAATGCCGGGCCGCCTGGCGCCTCGGGCGCGCGCAAAAAGAGCGCAGCGTTGTCCTTTTGGAGAGGCGGCCGCGTCCTGGGACTGCCGGGCGGGTTTTGAGATGCAGGTTTCAGCCCCCCTCTCCCCCCCCCATTTTATCCCGCGCGCCTATCGTCACTGAGGGCAACTTTTACCTCCCTTGCCCCCCGCCCTCCCCCCAAGCGTTTCTTCCTGAGTGACGCGCGAAGGATTTGTTAGGCCTTTTTTTCCATGGCCCTCAGATTCCCCTTTCCAGTGGGGTTTCTTCCTCTTTCCTCTCCCTAATGCTGCCCGCGGGACAACGGCCTTGTGAGGTTGGTTACCCTGGAAGAGGGGGACAAAGTCACGACTCTGTGGCCGAGGAAGGCATAACCAGCGTCTGCTTCCTTATTATGAAACGGATCTCCAACCTTGGCGACTTTAAGCCTGACGGACTTCAACTCCCAGAATTCCCCAGCCAGCTGGCTGGGGAATTCTGGGAGTTGAAGTCCTCCAGGCTTAAAGTTGCCAATGCTTAAAAGACTCACAGCTTTCCTGTCCAAAAATCCTGATTCTTTCCCCTCTCACAATCATGCACACTTGTCCCAGCTTCTCCGATTTGGTGCACCACCATCACGCCGCACAAATGTAAATATGTGAACTACATCTCCCATTTGTAGGTGGCCAAATGAGTACTTACTTTGGAGGTCAAGACTGCGGACTGAAAACGCTACTAAAAATTCCTCTAATCTGATAACTTGAATGGTTTCGCTGGGAAACACATTTAAGCACCAGGCAGTTGCTTGCCTTTATTGTTTGTCACAATAATCATAACGTTGTTGCTCTACACTTACATAAGAGACCTTAGTCCCGTTTTTGGTCCATTATCGAATCGTTTTCCCGTTAAGAGAGTGACGGTCATCATCACATCTTGTGGCAGAGAATTCCATGATGGATCCACGGTGCCCTGGACTTCTTTCTTTTGAGAAACAAGAACCAAATGCTAAAAAGGATCATCCTGAAACAAAACACCTTCTGAAGCAAATTCTCTTGGGTGAGGCTTCTTTGTGAAGAGTGTCCTTAGATAGGCCCTGTCTCCATTCCTAAGGATACTTCTGAATTTTGGAATAAGGCATAAAAGTATCAGTGGTATCTTTCTATGGGGTAGAGAAATAAAGATTAAAAAAAAGTTGGGCAAAAAGAAATTGACATTATCAAGACTCTTTTTTATTTATTCACTTGATTCGATTTTTTTAAAAATCCCACCTAAACACAGCTAATACTCCTTTCCCTTCCTATTTTCCCGCTTCTTCTGAGAGGGGTGACGACAAAGAAGTCAGGTCGCTTTCATGTCTAAGGCAGGACTAGAATTCAGTCTCCTCGTTTCTAGTCTGAAGCCTTAACCACGGGACTAGAGCAAATCTGACATAATTTTATCCTATCCGTCCAAGGAGGAGCTTAGGGAAGCAGACCTCCATTTCAGTCTTTCTCTCTCCACGGCATCTGTGAAGTGCATGAAGAAACACAGAAATCTTAAAACCACTTTCTTAGGTTGGAGTCACAATTTGAAATGTTAGTCATAATTTATTTGTTCTATAGAGCTGCCCATCTCCCACAGGTGACTCTGGGCAACATGTAAGAATTAAAAGCATAAAAACTGCAATATATGCAATCTCCAATGCCACCAGATAAAGTAATGCCCCAATTCTTCTCCCCCCCTCTCTCTCTGTCTCTCCCTTTCTGCCCCTCCCTCTCTCACATACACACATGAACAGCAGCAAGCTCACCTATTCTGACCCAAACTCCTTCAGGGCCTTGTGAAAGCAACCCAGAACCACCCAACTATCCAAGGCAGTTCTGTTTGTTAGAGCAGATGGCGCCACTGAGAAGGCACAACTCAAGGCTCCATCAAGATTACGTTGTTTGCCAGAAGGAACTTGGAACTTTATCCTCCGTGCTAGTTTTGGAGAGGTGAGCAGAGGTAATGAGAGAAAGGTGGTCCCACAAATAGTCTGGCTGTAAAGGTGCAACACCACTACAAGATGCAGCATGAAGGGCAGCCACTGGAGCGAATGCCAACATCTCCATTGAATTATTTACCACAGACAGCATTTGCCAAACAAAGGAAGCTTTTGGAGTTTGTTAAGCAAATATATTTAAGTGAAATTAAGGGGGAAATACTTTAAACCCTGAATTTCATTTAAGTCGTTCTTCTAGGTCTAGAACCCTCCAGATGTGTTGGACTAATATGTCCCAAGGTGATAATAACTCCGAAACTACTAACTTTCAAATGACATTGGCAAGTTTATCAGTTCATAATTACTAAGAGATTACTTCAAGGAATTGGCTACATTCACTCTTGTGGCCCATTCTTATAAAGGGTTGATATTTAGCAGAGCTCACTTAAGCTTTAAAGCCAAGTCCAATATCATGGTTGTTTTGGGATGGAAGGAATGGTGTGCCCTGTTGTTGCCAAGAAAATTCACACCTTTCAACAGCATTATTTTAGTATACAAAAAGCAAATGTTTCATAAATATATTCCATTCTATAGCTTCCGTTTGAGTTTTAAGAAATCTAAAGTAATAACCCGGATCCATAGTGGTAAGTTCATTTCGCATATTATTTTAGGAGACACTGGAATTGTGACAACAAAGCCCACAGAAGCAACTTTGAAAGCAAAAGCCTGACACTCTGCTTTTACACTTTTACTGCAGAAAGATGCAATAGCAAGGAATCTGTTCTATTACAATGCAAAGCTATTCCAATGTTCATGGTAATATTAAACAAAAAGTCCAATTAAGTTGAGGTTGAAGCATCTTCCTAACCATGAAAAATAAGCAGTTGAAAAAAATCATTTCACCTCTGTTTATTATTTTGGTAGCTGCCTTTCTGTTCAGCTCAGGGTAGAAAAGTTTTAGCAAGAAATGTGGTGGGGAGTGGATCAATGTTCACATCTAATCCACTAAATTTCCTTCTGGTTTTAATTCTTTTCCGTTTATATTCTAGAAAATGGATGGTTTTATTGGGAAGATGGTTCAAGCCCTGTCCCCCCACATACACATTCAATTCTCCATATGACTTAATTTGTGGCTTCGTGTTTACGCCCTTCCCTTATTTAACTATCTGCTGTCTTTCTTTCCCTCCCTCCTCCTCTCCTCTTGGCTCGTAGTAAAAGCAACCGCTAGAGTGAGTTTTGCATAGACTGCCTGTGGCTGAAGGGGGGAGGGGGGGGCAGAGAGATCTACCTGGGAGCAGGCTGGGAGCTGTCAGGAAGTATTTGTAGTGATAGGCATGTAGGAGTGAAACAAAGGCATTGGCACAGGGCCACAATCAAAAGATGCAACCAGGAGCACAAGACGGTGTTGTTGTGGACTGGAAAACATAGGATTAAAGGTGCCACAGTTGGCTCTCCTTTATGCACACTGGTTTCAGCCATCTGGGATGTGGAGTCACCCCTATACCTAACACCCCTAATAGCCATCGTTCTCCAACCAGGTGCCCACCAAACGGAGGAAGTTCAACTCTTATTATCCACACCAGCGTAGGGCTGCTTAGCTGGGAAGAGATGAAAGTTGCAGTTCCTCACCCACCTGGGTTAGAAAAGGCTGGGTGGGATGTGCTAACACCTCTTTGGAGCCCCTCCACAAATAAAGAATCCAGGGTTTCATTTCAGTAATGGCCAAGAAGGAAACTCTCCTGCACCCACCCACCCCCTCCCAAGACCCCTGCGTTCTAGTTCTCTTGTAAAATAAAGGACTGGAGGACGTTTCCACAACTCCTTCTCCCTTATCTCTGCAATCGTTGCCAAAGGGGACATCGTCCAGTCTCCAGAGCACCCGGAAAGTGGCCATTAGCAGGGAATGCTGATACTAGGGAAGTCTAAGGTCTAACAAGTCTTTTCTCTGAAGAGAAATGCCCCGAACGAAAGAAAGGGAGGAAACACTTCAGTGCGCAAAAATGACTTCGGAACTGTGCGCAATTGCACTTCCGACACTGAGAAAATGGCCGAGCCTTCGGTCAGTTTTTCCAGCGGGGGTAATGAATGATCCCCCTGGAAGACCCTTCCGAGGGTCAGAGGGATGCCTACAGCTGGGATTGGAATGGGGTGGGAATCTGCACCATCCCCCAAAGGCGGGTTGCTGGCGGCTCTCCTAGGTCACCCGCACTTTCTGCACCAAAGCCATTCCTGAGGGCGTTGGCATGAGCCGCGGCAATCCCTGCTGGGAATGGCGGCGGATCCCTCTGGGGGAAAGTGGTGGGGCTGAAACAGCTCCTTCCCTTTTGCCAGCTGGGGGACTCAAGCCCGTCCTCGGCTCCCCTGAGGCGCTGGGCAACCAGGTGGGTGGGTGGGGGGAGCGGACGTCCTTTTACGCACGGCTGTCTCCAAAGGCGCAAGGGAAGAGGCGCCGAGAGACGGGAGCCTGGTGCATCTGGCGACAGCCGTTCGGTTCTCTGCTCCTGTCCTTTTTTTCTTCTTCAAAAGAGAGGTATGAAAGAGTTGCCGTCTTTTTTGTGTGTGTGTGTTTTTTTTCCCCACCGGAGGGAGATGGGAAGTGGCCTTTTCTCCCTCTCGAATTTTTCTGTGTCCTTTTAGATCCGCAGCCAAGGAGAGCGGCGGAGGGACTGAATAGCCCGGACAGATTTTTCTACTAGCTCGCAAATGGATGACAAAAAAAATCTGGCGAGCGAGTTACCAACCCCTCAGACTGCCCACTTCAAACGTCCTCCAAACAAAGGCTAACGAGGGAGAAGAAAGCCCCACCTGGCCCGCACTGTTTGCTAAAATAATAATAAATAGATTTCGTTTAATAAATAATGGCAGGAGTTTGCCAAGTGGAGTGCTTCGGGGAAACATTAATCATGAGGCTGGGGGCAGCCATCACCTGCTCAGAAAAAAAAGCAGGCAACTTTATTGTTAGAGCACCTTCTCGCCCGCCTCGACACCCCTCCCTTTGTGCCATTTTCTGATAACTTCCTTCCAATTGCCACAACTGGCCGGTCGCTTCTGTTTACTCACAGTTAGCATAACAAGAGCAATATGACCACAAACGTGATAAAAATTGACCGGGGTGAGGTGGGGGCTGCCTTGGTTTCTTCCTCACACCTGTCCGGGCAGCTTGCAGGCCTGCTTGGCTGGAAATGGCCCTTCCAGTTGGGACCCTTCTGGCGTTTACATTGGCCTCCCTTCTGCTACTTTACAACAGGTTTACGGCAATCCTAATCGCTCGGTCCTATTTGTCTTATTTTATTGAAAGCATATGGTAACTAGAGGAGCGGAGCATCCTACTTTTCGCCTGCCAGGCGTCGGGGAAGGGTTGGGGCAATCTGGACTCTGACTTGCAAGGCTGCCCGCGACCAACTGGTACTGTTTGGTTTGTCAATCAGAGACCGGCGGGTGCACACGCGCGCGCACACGTGCAAAAAAAACCTCAAAACCCCGACCCTCTGGATTTCCAGAGGACCCTCCAAACCTTTCGGAGCTCATGTTGTATTGTTAGAATAAGAATAAATTTTGGAGAGGTAAGAGGCCCGCCATATGTCACTTTGGGGGCCAAACTCAAGGCGCACGCCAACTCCCTTGGGAAAGGAAAGAGGTTCCCGCAGACGGGCACCAAGCGAGACAAGGGATGGAG